TAAGTGAGAAAAAGCAAGTTGCAGAACAATGTAGAAAATGCTACTATTTATAAGAATAGATACTGTTTGTACATAACATAGACTATCCTTGGAAGAATGCCCAAGAAAGTTGTGTCCTCTGAGATGGGCCAAGGAAGGTTAAAAGCATTAGGGAGGGCAGCCCGGGTGGCTCAGCCGGTTTGGCGCCGCCTTCAGTCCAGGGCCTGATCCTGGAGACTGGGGATCGTGTCCTGCAACAGGGTCCCTGGGTGAAGCCTGCTTCTCCCTCTGCCTGTGTCTCTGCCTCTCTGCCTCTCTGCCTCTCTCTCTCTCTCTCTCTCTCTCTGTCTCTCATGAATAAATAAAATCTTTAAAATAAAAGCATTAGGAAGATATTTTACTGCCTATCACTGACATACATTTTAAATTATGTACCAAATGAATGTATCTACCCCAAAACATTTTTAAGTAAAAAAAATAAAAAATAAAAAATAAAAAAATTGGGGGGCACCCGCATAGCTCAGTAGGTTAATGGCTGGCTGCCTTTGGCTCAGGTCATGATCCTAATGTCCTGGGATAGAGCCCCACAATGGGTTCCTTGCTGTGGGCAGTGATGGGCCTGCTTTCCCCCTCTCTCTGCCCTCTCCTTGCTATGTTTGCTCTCTCTGTCAAATAAAAACATAAATTTTTTTTAAAGGAACAGGTGGTTCATTTGCTTTTTCCCAAAAAATGACTTTAGTTGTAAGATGCTTTTTAATAGCCCTCAATTACTTTGTGCAGGAGGTTGTAGCCACTGTAGGGGAGCAAAATTTTCCACCCCAAAATGTGTCTGTTTGGCATATGTATTATTTTAGGCTGATCATTTTTTTTAATATTTTATTTATATATTAGAAACAGAGAGAGCACGGCAGAGACAACAGGCAGAGGGAGAAGCAGACTCCATGCAGGGAGCCTGACATGGGACTCGATCCCAGTCCTCCAGGGACTGCCTTGGGGCTGAAGGCAGCACTAAACCGCTAAGCCATTGGGGTTGCCCTAGGCTGATAATTTTTAAGGAACACAAGGCTCAAGAACAACTGCTGACTTTCCCCCAACTACCTAAAAAAATTTAAAGGACCTGTTTCAGGAAGGGAGCTACCACCACCGACAGCTATGCAACTAGGGTTGCATTTCTCTACATTAATAATGAGCTATCAGAAAGAAAAATTAAGAAAATAATCCCATTTACAGCTGCATCAAAAAGAATAAAATACCTAGTAATAAATTTAATGAAAGAGGTGAAAGACCTTTACTATAAAGACTGTAGGAAATGGATGAAAGAAATTGAAGATGATACAAATAAATGGGAAGATACTTTGTGCTCATGGACTGGAAGAATTAATATAGTAAAAACATCCATACTAGCCAAAGCAATCTACAAATTCAGTACAATCCATCAAAATACCATTTTTTGCAAAACTAGAACAAAATTATCCTAAAATTTGTATGGAACCCCATATAGGCAAAGCAATGTTGAGAAAGATCAAAGCTTTACGTATCATGCTCCCTGATTTGGAACTATACTACAAAGCTATAATAATCAAAATAGTATGGTACTGACACAAAGACAGTACATAAATAGAACAGAACTGAGGGCCCATAAATGAACCCACACATATATGGTCAATTAATCTACTACAAAGGAGGCAAGAATATACAATGGGGAGGAAGACAGTCTTGTCTCTTCAATAAATGATTCTGGGAAAACTGGACAAACTACATGCAAAAGAATGAAACTATCTTACACCATATATAAAAATAAATTCAAAATGGATTAAAGACTTGAATGTTAAAACCTGAAGCCATAAAACTCTTAGAAGATGGGCAGTAAGCTCTTTGACATTAGTCTTAGCAGTATTTCTTTGAATCAATCTCCTCAGGCATGGGCAACAAAAGCTAAAATAACAAATAGGATTAAATTAAACTAAAAAGTTTTTGCAGAGCAAAGGAAACCATCAACAAAACAGAAAGACAACCTATTGAATGGGAAAAGATATTTGAAAATCACACATCTGATAAAGGGTTAACATCCAAAATATATAAATATAAAAAAAAATTTAAAAATGGGCAGAGGACTTGAAAAGACTTATTTCCAGAGACAACACCCAGATGGCCAACTGAGACATGAAAAGGTGCTCAACATCACTATCCATCAGGAAAATGCAAATCAAAGCCACAATGAGATATTACCCCACACCTTTTAGAATGGCTATCAACAAAAAGACAAAAATAACAAGTGTTGGAGAGGATGTGGAGAAAAGGAAACCCTCATAAACTAGCTGGGAAATGTAAATTGGTGCAACTATGGAAAACAATATGGAAGATCCTCAAAAAATTAAAAATACCATACGATCCTGTAATTCCACTTCCGGGTATTTATCTGAAGAGAATGAAAACACCAAATGGAAGATATATGTACCCCTATTTACAAGAGGCAAGATATGGACACGACCCAAGTGTCCATCAATAGAGGGACGGGTACAGAAGATGTGATAAATATATCCAGTGAAATATTACACAGCCATAAAGCACGAAGTCTTGCCATTCTTGACGGCATGGAAGCACCTAGTAGGTATTACGCTAAGTGAGATAAGTTATACGGAAAAAGACAAACAATGTATGACATCACCTGTATGTGGAAAATCTAAATAACAAATCGAAACAGAAACAGACTCTCAGGTATAGGAAACAAACCATTGGGGGTGCGGGGGAGGGGCTGGGGAGGAGGAGAAACAGGTGAAGAGGATTAAGAGGCACAAACTTCCAGTTAGAAAATAAGTCATGGGGAGGCTAAGTACCGCCTAGGGAATATAGTCAATAATATTATCGTAACTTTGTATGGTGACCATGGCAACCACAGTGGATCATTTCTTAATGTTTAAAAATATCAAATCACTATGACGTAAGACTGAAATTAACAAGATACCGAATGTCCAGTATTGTCCGTTAAAAAACAAACAAAAACAACACTCCTCAGGGCAAATTCTTCTCCGTCCTCTCCCCACACCCGGGAGCCTAGTGTCCCAGTCGCATCCTCACCCGTCCACAGCGCGCCGGCCTTCCGCCCCCGGGGCCTCTCCACTCTTCCCAAACCCCATTTCTCACCCCTCTGCAAGCTCCAACCCCCCTCGCCTCAGAATTGCCCACGCCGCTCCTTTCTCCCCACGACCGGACCTCCAGCACCGGCCTTCTCACGCCTCCAGGCCCCAACCCCTCCGGCGACACCCTCTCACGCCCGCGGCCCACCTGCACTCTCCGCCTCTTCAGGGCCGCCGCGTCCAGCCACACGCCACAGGCCTCCTCCTCGGGGCCCCTCCGCCTCATGGCCGCTGCCGCGACCCGGCCGACAGCTCGCCCGGCTCCCGCTCCCGCCGCCTCACAGAAGGGCTGTAACGGCCTCCGCCGACGTTCGGATCTCGCGCCAACGCCGGGGGCGGGGCTACGCGGCGGCCCGCGACGCAGGCCCCGCCCCCGGCCCCGCCCCGGCCAGGTCCCGCCCCGCCCCCTGTCTCCGCGCCCGGCCCCACCCGCTCGGCTCCTCGGGGGAGCACCTTTCGTGTCCCCAGGTCTTCACGTTCCCAGAGGTTCCGGAGTTGCGAATCGCGCCGAGGCTGTGTGAACGTGCTCGCGACGATGCACAAGGAACATGCATTTCTTTTCGCTAAGTTAATTGCACATTCTTGTAAACAGAACTACCCCGGGCTCAGGGTTTTCCAGTCTCCCGGCAGCATCCTTACAGCCATCCCAAAAGGGCGGAGCCCAGGCTGCGGTCGCCAAGTCCAACGCCAGGGTCACCAGCACTAACCGTGCACTGGAGTTCGTGAATTACTTTTGAAATTCAAAAAAAAACAAAAACAAAAAAACCTAAGCATATCTATAAAATATACAAAGGAGAGGATTTAGAAACCATTACAAAAGGGGCACCTGGGGATCCCTGGGTGGCGCAGCGGTTTGGCGCCTGTCTTTGGCCCAGGGCACATCCTGGAGACCCGGGATCGAATCCCACGTCAGGCTCCCGGTGCATGGAGCCTGCTTCTCCCTCTGCCTATGTCTCTGCCTCTCTCTCTCTGTGTGTGTGACTATCATAAATAAATAAAAATTTAAAAAAAAAAAAGGGGGCACCTGGATGGCTCAGCCAGTTAAGTGCCTGCCTTCTGTGAGGGGGTGGTGTCTGTCATGATCTCAGGGTCCTGGGATCAAGCCCCACATTCTCCTCTCTCTGCATCAGTGGGGATGATGCAATGTCTCTTCTCCCGCTCCCCCTGCTTGTGCTCTCTCACTCTGTTAAATAAAATCTTCTTTAAAAAATAAAAAATAAGGGATGCCTGGGTGGCTCAGCACCTTCGGCTCAGGACGTGATCCTGGAGTGCCACCTGGAGTCCCACATCCATCTCCCTGCATGGAGCCTGCTTCTCCCTCTGCCTATGTCTCTGACTCTCTCTGTATGTCTCTCATGAATAAATTTTAAAGATCTTTAAAATAAATAATAATAAAAAGGTTAAAATGAAAACTAAAAATCTAAAAAAAAAGAAAACTAAAAATCTGGAGTCCCAGGCCTGTCAGCTTCCAGAACTATCTCCCAGTCCTGCTTTCACACCTTAAGAGTGACCTTGGATTTTATTTATTTTTTTTTAAATATTTTTTCTTTATTTATTTATGATAGTCACAGAGAGAGAGAGAGAGAGAGGCAGAGGCAAAGGGAGAAGCAGGCTCCATCCACCGGGAGCCCGACGTGGGATTCAATCCCAGGTCTCCAGGATCGCGCCCTGGGCCAAAGGCAGGCGCCAAACCGCTGCGCCACCCAGGGATCCCGACCTTGGATTTTAAAGATCAAGTGAGGTAACTTTGTGAAAGCACTTTGCAGACTGTGAAAGCTCCTCAGAAATGCAGAAGTGCTGGCATCCCACTCATCCTTCCATCCCTAGCCACAGTCCCCATTGATGTTCTTTACATATGTATATAAACCATATATGCAAACAGAATATTTTTTAAAGATTTTTTTATTTTAGAGAAAGGGGGGGTGTTGGAGAGTCTCAAGAAGATGCCCCTCTGAGTGCGGAGCCCCACATCGTGCTGGAGCTCACAACCCTGAGATCATGACCTGAGCTAAAATCAAGAGTCCAATGCACTCAACCAACTGAGCCACCCAGGAGCCTCTATAAACAGGATATTTTAGCAGTAGAGTGATATTTCTTATTCACTTGAGGTTTTTGTCTTATCAGTACTTCCTAATTTTCCTTCACTGTACATATATTACTTATGTACGATGGAAAAGCAATATTATACAAGTTAACATATAACAATATTATACAAGTTTACATATAAAACCCGTCTTGATTGAAGGAAAAACCAAAAAAATGAAATCTTTGTCAAATTATAAAGTGGATTTCTGTAAAATTTCACACATTCTTTTAACTTCTAAAACTTATTGAGTATAAAATTGCCTCCCTTCCCTGCAAAAAAGAGAAAGTTCACATATATAGTATATAAAGCCCGCAACCACCCCCCAGGCAAAGATCAAACAGCAATTGCCTTCATCCTCCCTGCTCCCACCCCTGGGGACCCCAGCTTCCCGTGGAAAACCTCCTCAACAAGGTGAGCAGGTCCATGGAAGTCCCAGGGCCCCATTTCTGGGACAGGAGGCAAAAAGCAAAGAGGCTGTTGTATCAGTCACTTTATTGCATCCAGGACATATCAGAGTCCAGACCACCCCTATGTCCAACCCCAATGACCTCCTCCCTTCAGTACCTCTTTGGCCTTTGTATAGGCTTTTCCCTTTGGCTGGAATGCCCCTTTTCATCTGCAAACTCCTATTCACACTTTCCAACCCAAGCTTGTGAGGTGGCAAGCAGCACTGATTATTCCCTCCTCAGTACTTCCCCTGATGGGGTCATTCCAATTTTAAAGCTCTCATCATCCTGCATTAACCCACAGGACCCAGCTGGTAGCCTGCCTCTGAGCAGAGGCCCAGGAAACACTGAAAGGATAACTGAATCAAGAACAAGGAAACCAGGAGAGAGGCTAGGAACAGGATGTGTGGGACATAGAGGCCAGAGCTAGAAAGGTGGGGGCTCCCTACGTGAGACAGTAACTGAGGTGTGGGCACTAGGGGGGATCCATTTCTACCTAGCACAATCTTCCACCTTTGGAGACTCTCCAGAACTCCAAAACTCCAGGCTGGAGCTCAAGGAATGTTAAGGTCCTCCATTCATTCCCTATCCACCAATGAAATCTGGGTAGAGGGGGAGCTGCTGAGCCCTCTTCTGCCTCTCAGCTCAAACCTGGTTCTGGCCTAAATTCTACCCTCACTCTGTCCTCTCAGTTGATCTGGAAGCTCCAAACCAGGGTCCTGCCCCCAGCTGGTCCCTGATCCTCACCCCTGGTGAGAGGCACTGGGGGGAGAGGCAAACCAGGCGGGCCTGCATCTTTATCTCTTTTCTCCTCCCAGGGCTGAGGGCTGGGGCAGGCCCAGGAGTAGAGCCCAGCAGCCCCTAGCCAATCCCCAAATCCAAGGGCTGGCCGGTACCGTCATCGGCAGCTGAGGCGTTCACAGAAAGTCACCGCAGGCCAGACACAAACAACTTTACCAGGCCCTTATTCCCACCTGGAGGCAAGCCCGGACCCCTGGGCTCCCTCGACACCTCCCTCCCTACCGGCAGCCACCCCCCTCACTGGGTCTTCCGGTTGAGTTTGCGCCGCACCAGCTGGCTCAGCAGGAACGCGGTCAGGACACTGCTGCCCACCGTGAGCAGGAAGAGGCCAGAGAAGTTGTGAGGCCAGCGGGCGTGCAGAGGCTCATAGATGGGCCGCCGGGCCTCGTAGTCCAGGGCCACGGCCTCCAGCTGAGCCAGGGTGCACAGCACCAGGAATACGTGGAAGAGCTGGTGGCCCTGGCCAAAGACGTGGCAGCTGCCAGGAAACCAGCGCTCAGGCACGAAGGCTGAGAAGAAAGCAGCAGCCAGCAGGAAGAAGACCACCTGGCACTTGTGGTAGAGAAGAGCTGGGTCATCTGCCGTGGGGTCGGGGGACACCAGGATGCGGTGCACCACGGGGCTGATGTCCAGCGCGTAGGCCAGCGCCGAGGGCACCTCCTGGCAAGTGCGGCCCAGCAGGCCAGGTTTCTGACTATACTTGTTGTAGCAGGAGCCGGTGCAAGAAAGCCAGGCGAGAAAGGCGGCCGTGGGCAGGAAGACGGTCTGCACCTGGGCGTGCCAGGCGGGCTCGATGGCGTAGTAGAAGTGCGCCAGGGCGCTGCCGAACTGGTACACGGCCACGCCCACGTAGTCCAGGAAGAAGAAGCTGTAATGCCAGAACTCGGACTTGGCCTGCAGGAGGTGAGCCAAGGCACTGAGGGAGAGGTAGGTGAAGGACGCGAGGACAATGATGAAGAGGGGCAGGGCGTGTGGGTCTCCCCAGAAGTCCACGGTCCCCGCAAAGATGGCCAGGCGCAGCAGCAGCACCAGGGCGGCCAGCAGGTGGGTCCAGACGTTCACCGCCTCGTTGTGCTGCTGGAACAGCGTGCGGAAGTAGAAGCGCCAGGTCTGATGCAGCGGCCGGTAGCCCACGTAGATGTACGGCTTCCAGAAGAGGGGTGGCACCTCGGCTCGGTCCACCGTGAAGACAGGCTCCGGCTGCCCGGACGGCTGCGGCTCCTGGTGGGCCTGCCGCAAGGTGGGCAGGAGATGGCTGAGCTTCTGGGCCACCATCGTGGCCATGGCTGTGGGCCAGGCAGGGAGCTGGGGGAGAGGCCAGAGCAGACTCAGGGCACTGGTGTCCTTGCCCCTTGCCCACCATGAGCAACAGCTGGGAGGCTCTGGAGCCCACTTCTTACTCCCTCCTTCCCGCCCCCTTTGTCCCTACACTGAGTTTCGGAAGAGAGGAGTCATCCTAAGGAAGATCACAGCTCTGCCCCTATGACTGTTCTGCTCCCTGATGCGTCCCAAGTGCCCAGAACAGTGCCTGGCATGCTGTACGTGCTCAATCCATGCCTGAGGGATGAGTTAAGGAGACTCACTACGTCAGCCACTTCCACTCCAGTCTAGGTTTACACAAGCTGTTCCTTCTGCCTGAGACATTTTCCTCATCTTGCCTACTCGGTAAACTCCTAATCCTCCTTCAAAACCCACTTCTTCTGTGATCCTTTCCCTGGCCCCCTGAACCTCTGACAATGACCTTGCTACTTGAGTGCCTACCATAAGATACCCATCCTTTGGCCATTATAACATTTTTCACGGGCATTAAAATTGTTCATGTGAGCCCACCAATGGTAGGCAGTTAGTCTCATTATTTTCTGAACCCCAGGGGCTTAGCAGGTAGCTGGCACTCGGTGTTTGTTGAATCAAAGAACACAATAACATCTCGGTAACACTTTACACCCTTAAAGCCCCCAACTCAAAAAGCCACTTTTTTTCCTGAAGTCCCCAGTTAACAACTAATTCTATAAAAACAGCCCTTTCCCTCAGCCACACCTCCACTCTAAAGAGCCCTCCTCCAGCCTTTCCACTCTCACCCACAGTTGCTAATTTCAAAGAAATCAAATCTAATCCCTCACCCAGGCATTCAAGATGCTGCTCCTACCCTCATTTCCCACCTAACCCAAATATCACACCCTCTGCCAACTTCCTTTCCTGCCACTGAAAGGCTTTAGGGCCAGTTCAAACTGCTACCTCCAGGGGATCCCCTTACTGCCCCCATGCACTCTTCCTGTATAGGTTATACAGTATATATATAAACCATATTCATTCATTCACTCATTCATTCATTCCATCATTTGCTGATTTAGCAAACACCTACTGAGCCCTTCCTCTGCCTCAGGTCCTGTGCTGGGTCCAGGGAAGGGCAGAGAGGAAAAAGATTTGATCCCTGCCCCCAGGATGCCTGAGTGGCTCAGCAGTTGAGCATCTGCCTTTACCTCAGGACATAATCCTGGAGTCCCAGGAACAAATCCTGCATCGGGCTCCCAGCATGGATCCTGCTTCTACCTCTGCCTGTGTCTCTGCTTCTCTCTCTCTCTGTGTCTCTCATGAATGAATAAATAAATAAATAAATAAATAAATAAATAAATAATAAATAAATAAATAAAACCTTTAAAAAAAATGATCCCTGCCCCCAGGAACTTCATGGTATGGTGGAGATTATCGATGGAAAACAAATCATAGCAAATGCTTATACAGTACTTGCTACGTGCCAAACACCATTTTGTTTTTGTTTTTCACAAGATACACAGAGAGAGAGGCAGAGACATAGGCAAAGGGAGAGGCAGGCTCCCTGCGGGGAGCCCAATGCAGGACTCAATCCCAGGACCCGGGGATCATGACCTGAGCCAAAGGCAGACACTCAACTACAGACACCCAGGCACCCCTGTGCCAGACACCGTTTTAAGCACTTGATATATAACTGACTCACTTATGCTTCAGAACACCCTGTACATAGGTACTATCATTATTCCCATTTTGCAGATAAGAAACTGAGGCAGGGAGACATTAAGGACCCTGCCCACCATGTAGCTAGGAAGTGGCAGAGGCACAATCTGAACTCAGTTTGCAATCATAACTAAACTACCCTTTTTGGGATCCCTGGGTGGCTCAGCGGTTTAGCACCTGCCTTTGGCCCAGGGCACGATCCTGGAGTCCCGGGATCGAGTTCTGCATCGGACTCCCGGCATGGAGCCTGCTTCTCCCTCTGCCTGTGTCTCTGCCTCTCTCTCTCTCTCTCTATGTCTATCATAAATAAATAAATAAATAAATAAATAAATAAATAAATAAATAAATAAATAAATAAATCTTAAGTAAATTAAAAAAATAAATAAATAAACTGCCCTTTGTAAGACAAGGTGGCAAGTGCTATTAACCATTTCATAGTTACTCTCTAGATACTTTTGTCTGAAACCAGTTGCTTAATTCAGGCTTATCATCATTCACTGTGTCATTCATTAAATCAAATATCTATTGGGTGGCTGGGTGGCTCAACTGGTTAAGCCTCTGCCTTTGTTTCAGGTCATGATCCCAGGGTTCTGGGTTAGAGCCCCACATCAGGCTCCCTGCTTCTCCCTCTCCCCACCTCCCCTTCTGTGTTCTCTCATGTTCTCTCTCTCAAATAAATAAATCTTAAAAAAAAAAGGCAAATATCAATTGAAACACTAGCACCTGCCCAGACAACTCCCACCCCTCCAATAAATTCCCTCCAACAAGCTCGTTTGGCTCGGCACCCTGGTTTTCTGTCCATCTTTCTTTCTTTTTTTTTTTTTTCTGTCCATCTTTCATCAGATATTTATCGCAACTACCTTGGCACCAGTCACTGTAAGAGGCAAGGAGATCCAGGCAGGACAGAGCACTCATGTCTCTGCCACCAGCAGCACCATAATCACCCCCAAGGCCCCTGCACACAGCCAAGTAAACGCAGGGAGCTTGCCATGCCAAGGCACTATCAAGTCAAGCCCCCAGCCCACCTTCCTCCTCACCCTAGCCTGACCTGCATCCCTAAGCCCCCCTGCGTTACACTTCCCAAGTCAGCTCTGGTCTCTGGCCTCTCCTAGTCCAATGAGGAGGCAGTAGTTAAACAAGTCACCACAATATCGCACAGGGGATGCTTCCGACAGGGGAGTGCAGGGCCCTTCCACTTCTCATTCCCCAGACAGCCTGGCAGAGGTCAGGGCTAGAAAGCAGATCTTGCTGGCCACTTCCACCCATGACAGCCTCCTAGCCTGCCTTGCTAATGGAGGAGCCAGCTCTGGAGGGCCTCTCCTCCCCAAGAGACTGGGGAGCCTCTACCCTTGTCTACAACTCTGGCCTTCCAACTCAGAACCTCGGGAAGCCAGAAAAGGCCTCTGAAAGTGTCTCATGTAGCACCTTTGTTTTACACTGAGGAAACAAGAGTCCAGAGACAGAAAGGCCTCCTACGGAGTTGCCCAATCCAGCAAGGTTCCCATTCCACGACAAGGGAAAAGACCCTGGAATGATAATTTGTGATGGTGGCCTAGTTCCTGGGTCCCTGTGATCCATCAAATCTAGTCCAAGGCTCCATACCCCACTCAGAACTTCCCAAGTCATAACAGCCTATTAAAGGCTCTGAGAAGTCCTGCAGCAAAGAAAGCCGCTTCACTTTGTTGAACCCACATTTGTCAAGCCTACCTGACCAAGGATTCTTTTCCTGGTGATAATTATATTATAAAGCCAGCTGCAATGTAAGTGTTTAATATATGCTCACTCTTTATAACCTTGTTGTAATTAATTCTCATAACTAGCCTGTTGAGGTAGGCATTATGCCCATTTTATTTTGGAGGATACTGAAATTCAGAGAGGTTAGAGGCGCTCCTTCCCCAAGATGCACATGCACACACACATGCATGTGTACACACACACACACACACACATACACACACACACACTACCCTGCCTCCTGTCATGCCAATCTGTATTCCATGGAACTACTTTAGAAAATAATAGTCTAGGGGATCCCTGGGTGGCTCAGTGGTTTAGCCCCTGCCTTCAGCCCAGGTCATGATCCTGGAGACCTGGGATCAAGTCCCACGTCAGGCTCCTTGCATGGAGCCTGCTTCTCCCTCTGCCTATGTCTCTGCCTCTCTGTTTCTCATGAATAAATAAAAAATCTTAAAAAAAAATAATAATAGTCTAAAGCAGGTAGCCAAGGCCCTTTCCACAAACTTTTTTTATAAATTTATTTTTTATTGGTGTTCACCTTTCCACAAATTATCTCCTTAGTCTTCTAGCAACTGACATGCATCCAGGGACCTCAGTCTCCCCACGTTACCAGCCATCCACTGGCTCTCTACCAATGAAGCCCTAGCTCACAGCTACTCCTCAGGTGCTGATAGCTTACTCAGGGCCCTCCTCCTCCTCCAGACACATTTGGGGCCTAAGCACAGAACCCAGAGGCTACATACTGGGATAGATATCCTGCTCCCTACTTCCTTTAGACCTCACCCCAAGGCCCCATCCCATCTGGATAGGTCTATTTTCAGAACTGGTTCCCATCTCCTGACTCCATGGAAAGGGGCTCTGAGTCCAGGGGAAAGCAACAGATGTGGGGTCCAGCATGAGCTGGAAAGAGGAGGTAAGTATCCACCGGCCACCCTCAGAGAATCCTCTGAGCCATCTGCCCCTCCAGGCTGCCAGGACCTGCCTATTTCAGGCCACCCTCCATGGCCCCCTCCAAACCTAGGTTACCTAGGGGTTTTTTTCGAGCCTGGGGACTGATGACTTCCGCTGTGGGACTGGGCAAATTCACCAGATGCCAAGCACTGGGTGGCACTTCCACAGGTGAGGGTCCCTAGGGGCGGGGCTTCCAAGGACTGGAGGTGTCTTATGTGATGTCACCAGAGGGTGGGGCTGAAGAAAACCTCCACCTGTCCCTCCCCCGCAACACCATTCCCACACTGCTCAAATCCCCAGCTAAACACTGTCCTCCTACCTCGGCCTCAGCTGCAGAAGGAAGCTCAGCATTCACCACATGAAGCATCTGGGGAAACCCAAGGCTGGCTAAAATGTTGTGACTTACCCAAGGTTCACACAGCAAGGAGGGCAAAGCTGGGCTGAGACCAGGTGACCAGGGCCTGGTTGATGGAGGTCAGGCAAACTGGATTGGCTTCTGTTCCCTATTCACCAAGAATCATAATGGAAAGAAGTTAGAAATAAAGGAGAAAACAGACACCGTAAAGGCTCACGAAGGAGATGGGACTTCAGATTCGGAAAAACCAAGTTTGACGCCTGTCTCCATAACATGCTAGCTGTGACATGCTAAGACAAGTGACTCACCTTCTCTGATCTTTAGCTCCCTCATGGCAATTATAATATCTACAGCACAGATTGTTGTAAAGATTGAACTCATTAGAATAAAGTTTTAGCACAGTTTAGGGACTGGATAAATATGCTACTATTGTTAGTTATTAATAGTAGTAACTAACTATTATTAATGGTAGTAGTATTCGAATTACCCCCAGCCCAAGAGATTTGGTTGACATCCTCAAAAAAAACTGTCTTCTTCTTAGCCTTCATAGCTGGTTCCACTGGATTTGGGGTCTTGAGTTAACTGTGTCTCTTGTGACGTTTTCCTTTCTCTGAGGATGCATGTAAGGACCAGGAAATCTGGCTAGTTTGAACTTCTGGGGACACTGATCTTATTTAATAATTGAATTCTCCTCAGCATAGCCCATTCAGAGTAACCCCTCTAGATTCACAGAGCCCTAAAGATTCGTACTTGTGCTGCACAGACCCAAGACAAGCGCTGGGAAGAGAAGCCACCAGGGAAAGGGTCTCGATTTCAGCTGCTCCATCCCCCAGGAGGAGGGTAAAGGGGATGGACCACGCTAGCAGGTGATCCAAAAGGCATGTGGCCTGGCCAGGGCAGGTCTTGCTGGTTCGAGAGGCTTCCAGGTTGGCTGAGCCTCAGAACTGAGATCTCCAGGGCCCAAGTGGGAGTTCCTGTCAGAGAAGCTCTGTCTTCCTCTGCCTTCCCCCCTCACATTCCTCTTTCCCTAAACACAAGGTCAACCTCCTCATCTAGCTCCTCAACCAAGGCTTGCCCCAGTTCCTCCTGGTCTCCACCTGACATACAGTCAAAGAGTCCCCTAAACTCCTGGGGGCAAAACAGATGACGGGGTTATGGGGATGGGGCCGTAAACAGATGTCCAAGTGGGAGAGCCCTAGGTTATATCCATCCCATAGACTTTAGTGCACGTGGCAGGCAAAACGCTACAGGGCTGGTGGAGGAAGCAGACTCCCTGCCCCGACTGGGCTCAGCCACACAAATGAAATGCCTTATGGGCCAGGGAAAACCCAGCCCCAGAGAAGCCACCCAGGTGCTGACTGTGCAGAAGTGTAGACAGCTGATGCCCCAAGAGAGGATGTCACTCACCTCCGGCAGACTATCTCAAGAGAAGCCAGGTCCCCATTTTTATGTGAGGATGGGATTTCAGGTCTGAAACTTATCAGCTGTGTGACTTTGCTTTCCAGTCCCTTAGCCTCTCTGAGCCTAGTTCCTCATTCATAATCGAAGGAGAGTAATAGCTACCCCTTGGGCTCTTGTGAAAGCAAAACAAAGTTCTAAATGGAAGGTGTTGGCTCCGGCACAGCGCGCGACCCTGCTATTTTTGTTAGGTTCTGGTCCTGGCTCAGCCATTCACTCCCTGTGTGACCTCGGACAAGTCACAGGACAAGTCACAATTTGATACCCCTCTTGGCCCTGTTTCTCCGAATATCAAAGGAGAGAATAAATTTATCAGCAACATCAAAGGGCCCATCAGACCCGGAGACATTCTAATTGTTTTAGGCCTACTGTGTGCCAGGTGTTGGAGCTTCAGCAGTGAACAAAGCAGTTAAAACACATCCCTCAGGGGGCAGCCCCAGTAGCTCAACCAACCAAAGGTGGTTTAGCGCCACCTTTGGCCCAGGCCTGATCCTGGAGGCCGGGATCAAGTCCCGCATCCGGCTCCCTGCATGGAACCTGCTTGTGTCTCTGCCTCTCTGTCTCCCTCCCTCTCCCTCTCCCTCTCCCTCTCCTCTTCCCTCTCCCTCTCCCTCTCCCTCTCCCTCTCCCTCTCCCTCTCTCTCTCTCTCTGCCTCTCATAAATAAAATAAAATCTTAAAAAAAAAAAAAACACATCCCTCATGGAACCAATAGCCCAGACAATTAACATCTAAGAGTAAGAACTAAGGATATTAATACCCTGCCCACTTGGAGCATAATAGCTTAAGGAAAAAATTCCTAACTATTAGGAGTATTAACTGTTTATAATTCCACTTTCTCTCTTGCCTCCATCTGGGCACACAAAATATCCATTGTTACTTCTCTGGGCCCTGATTTTTCAGCACACTCCCTTAAAGACAACTTTATCTTGCCAGAAAAGACAAAGTCTAACCTCAGATAAAAATAATAGTTAAGGCAGCAGGGAAGCCTGGCTGGCTCAGTAGGTATAGCCTGTGACTCTTGATCTCAGGGTTGTGAGTTCAAGCCGCAGGTTGGCGTGACACCTACTTAAAAATAATAAATCACAACAACAATAATAGCCAAACTAGACCTGTGTTAATACAGGAGTTGTTAGAGATAAATGTTCGTGCGGGGTCCTGCAAGGACAATGTCATGTAAGAGCCCAAAATATTATTAATAAGATTAGGCACTGACATTAGTAATTTACAGTGGCTTGCTGTTTACGAAGAACTTTCACACACATTTCATGTCTCCCTCAAATCACCTTTGAACCTCCACGTAAGCTGGTGTCACAGCCCAAGAAGCAGAATGGCGGGGCACATCATCTGCCTCTCAAACCAGTGCTCTTGCCCTTCATCCGCTGCAGTCAACTCCCAGGCATCCAGTGGGTGGCCACAGATTACACAAAGTTTTCATCCCTGGCTGGCCTCCCGATCTCCCAGCAACTGGGTCACCTCCCTCAATGCAAACCAATTCCCCAACTCGGCAGAATGTGTTAAAAAAAAAAAAAAAAAAAGTCCTTCCACTTCTTCCAAAACTGAACGGAAATCATTTTTGTTTTTTTGTCACTGCGCTCTGGGCCTCCGTTTGTGATCAGAGTAGAGTCAGTAACTCAAAGGAGCCCTTCTGTGGAACTGAGACTCCCTAATGCTGAGGACAAGGAGGAACCAGTGAGAGGAAAGCAGGCTCAGAGAGGTTGGGCGAGCTGCCTGGAGTCACCCAGCACACGGGATGGGAAAGGGGGTCAGCTTCCACCACCGGCCAGCGAGAGCCCCTCCGCTCAGGTAAACTGAGGCTGGAGTGCGGCGGCCTCTGGCCAACAGGCTCAGAGGCGGCACAAGCCCCTTGCCGTCTGGGGCTGGAACCCTGTCCCGCAGGAGCTAAAACCTAAGGTCCTGCCTGGGCCCTCCGACCAGGTGCAGCCAGGCTCTGGGGATCCTCTAACTCTCCGCCTCCCCCGCCGTGGCCTGCCCAGGCCCCTCATCAGGCCAGGCCTGCACGGGCGGCCCCCGGGACCTCCGGGGGTCCCCAACGCCTGCAGGCTCCGGGCAAGCGCTAGGGGCGAAGTGGGGCCCCCCTCCCCCTCCCGGGTCGTGGAACCTCCCTGCTCCCCGACCCCGAGCCAGGCTTCCGCATCCCAACCCGCCTAGGCGTCCCCCAAGCGGGGCCCCTCCCTCACACCATACGGCTCCAGGTACTTGCGCCGCTCGCGCCCCGGAGTCTCCCGAGACGCGCCCGCAGTGGCAGCAGCGAGGCCCCGGCCTCTCCCGCTCGCGGCCACCACGGCCCGCCCAGGCCGCCGTCCGCCCTGCGCACCCCGCCCCCGGTGCTCGGCTCCAGCGGGCCCCCGCAGCCTCCCGCTCTCACCCGGGCGCCGCCCCCCGCCCCCCGCGAGCGCCCGGGTACCTGCGGCGGGGCGGCCGGCTCCGATCCCGGCCCTGAGCGCCCCGGGACCTGCGGCAGATAAAGGGGCCGCGGTGGTCCCGCCCCGGGCCGCGCAGGGGGCGGGGCGGGGCGGCGGGCGGGGCCTGGAGGGCCCCCCCACCCGGGGGCGCCGCGCCGCGGGGGTGCGGGGGGCCCACGTGCCGGAGGAAAGCAGAAGCTCTCGCCCGAGCCCCCCCCCACTGGGCGGGCCCCGCTCCCGCCGCCGCCGCGGAGCCCCAGCTCCGGAGTCGGGGTGGCGGCGCGGGCGGGTGTGGCCGGAGCGCCCGGTGCGCCCGCGGGGTCCGCCCCCCCCCAGCCGCCGGGTCCGCGCCTCCGCTCGCGAGGCTTCCTGTGCTTGCGATGGGCCTGGCGCCCCCATCTTCGTCTCTTGGCCTGGGGAGCCCCACCCCGCCTCTGCACCCCCGTCTTCTTCAAGTTCCCACCCCGTGGGCCGCTTCCCCCGGTTGGCCAGCGCAAGGCGTGATGTTTGAACCTCTATTAAAACCCCCCACTTTCTACTCCCCAGTGTAACATCTCCCCCCCAGGATGGGAGCACCCAAAGGGTGAAGGATCCCTCAGCAAACCCCGGCAGGGATTGTTCACTCCTCTGGACCTGTGACCCCATCTGGGCCACACACGCAGCCTGATGGGTGCAGAGCCGAGAGGGGAGGGTCTAAGAGCGGACACTGCTCTGCCCTCAGGGAGCTTGAAGTCCATTCAGAGAAACTGTGTAGGGCGTGGGCATGATGAGGGGATCCAAGTCCTGGGGCCACCCCCAGCTCACCATGTGATCTTGGGCAAGTCTCTTTTTCTCTGCCTCAAGTTTATCACGTCTGGAATGCAAATAATAATACCTGACAGGTTGTTAGGACAATTAAAACAGTGGGTATGAAGGTTCTTTGTCAACTGCAATGAATACTAGAGGAATGTATATTTCCTTGTTATAGCATAACAAAACATGTATAATCATAATCACCCTAAGAATTAGTTAAATCTCTAATATCCATGTAGATAGAAAAAGTGGCATAAAGGATCCAATCATTTAGAACAGGGAGGGCATAGGAAATGACAACAAGTAAGGATATCATGGAAATTATATTCTATATGATGGAATATATTCTATCATAGTGAATAAAAATTTAAAACTTGGATTGTGACTTAGTCTCCGCTTCCAGTTTTGGAACACCTGCTCTGTACTGGACACGTTTTGAAAGCAATGGTTTTTTAAAAATAAAGTTTTAAAGCTACAGTTTATTAAATTCTTGCCATGTGCACTAAATAGTTGCCAAACCATCTACGCTGAGCCAGACAACCCTACTGACCCATCATACAAATTGGGAGCCTGGGGATCAAAAAGGGAACATAGGACGGTTATATTATCTCATTTAGCCTCATCCATTCCTACAAATGGAGTGTGATGACCTCCATTTTATGGACAGAAAAACTGAGGCCCAGAGGGAGAAATGATGTATTCCAGGTCACATAGCTCCCAGTGCAGTTAGGCTCTGAGAAATGGATCTGGAGGCGTGCTGGGGGGGGGGGGGGGGGACAGGAATCACTTCACCCTGAAACTTGGCTAGGGATATTTGAGAGCTGAATGATTAAAATTTAAAAAGTGCCTGGCCCAAGGTAAAGCCCCTTCCACACGCTATAAGCCCATGAGGGTATTCTTTCATAATTTCATTTCGTGGATGAGGAAACTCCTTCAGGAAGATGCTGCTTGCCCAAGGCCACCCAGTTGGCTAGTGGCAGGCCTGGATCTAGCCTAGTTCTTATCTGCTGCACAGTACTGGTGACAAGGAGTGAAGATGTGGGACCAGGACGACTCCTTCCCTCCCCTGCTGTGCCCCAACTCCTCCAGCCCAAGCAGGGTGAGAACAGCCCCAGGGCAGCTCCCTTTCCTGCCCTCCCCCAGCTCAGCCACCTGAGGGAGGCCCAATGACTCCACTCGTCCAAAGCCCAGAGCCCTGTAATCCTTTGAGTCTGGACCTAGAAGAGGAAGGTGGGGAACCTAGCCAGCAAGCTGAGCATCATCCAGCTGTCAGAGAATCGGGGTCTCCAGGGAGACCAGATTCCTGGGTAGGCCTAGAGAGTCAAAAGGCCTCAGAAATCAGGCTCTGAGCTAGGAGGCCATTGGGAAGGGCTTCAATGCACCCAAAGTAAGAGGAAGGGTGTGGGCCCCGAATGATTCTGAACTGATTCTTATCTTTTTTTTTTTTTAAAGATTTCATTTATTTATTCATGAGAGAGAAACAGAGAGAGAGGCAGAGACACAGGCAGAGGGAGAAGCAGGCTCCAGTAGGGAGCCCGATGTGGGACTTGATCTCGGGACCCCAGGATCACATCCTGAGCTGAAGGCAGGTGCTAAACTGTTGAGCCACCCAGGGATCCCTCATTCTTATCTTTTCCCCAAAACAAGAGCATCCATTCATTGGGGGCAGCAAGTGGTGAAGCACCTGAGTGTGTTTTAGCTCTGCCACTTATCCCAGGCAAGTTCTGTAGCCTCTCTGGATATCTAGTTCATGCACCTTAAAACAGGTCAGTACCCTCCATATAGGGTTGGTGTGAGGAGTAAGTTAAATCCTATGTGTCAAGTACTCGCGGCACCTGGCATATCGTGCCTGCTCAACAAATGCCAACAATTTCTCTGGTTCAGGTCTTCACCCCCCCCCCTTGCCAATAAAGAAGAAAAATCAAGGCTTGTTGTAAGCCCCGAGTATTGAGGTGATTTGTTACACAGCATTATTGCAGCCATTCCTGACTCATACGCATAGCAAAGCCAGGATTCAAACAAGGAGGTTGGACCCCAGACCACAATCTCAGCCTGTGCGTGGTGTGGTGGGAGCACAGTGCAGGGGACATGGATTGCCTACAGAAACTCTTTGCCTAGAGTCCACTTGGAGTGAGCCTTACAAGGATGAGGAAGGGTTCTCTGAGCCATGAGGAGGGGAAGAACTTTCCAGGCAGTAGGAACAGCATGTGCAAAAGTACAGAGATGTGAACGGTGGGGTAAGTGTAGGGAATGAACCATCATGTTCTAGGGCTGGAGCATAGGGGTCTCAAGGCAGCAGATGGCATTTGAAAGGTAAGGAGAGGCTTGCCTAAGTGGGAGGGCTTTATCCTGGAGTCAGAGATTAGAGGGGTGGGATAGGGTGAGGGGGCTTCAAGGAGAGCAACCCAAGAGGTAAGGGGTTTCCCCTGGGACTCCATGACCAGGTATGAGACTTTTGCCCAAGAATCCCAAGGGAGAAAAGCAGAGCAGAGGGCAGTGGTGGGAGGGAGCTAATGCATTTCCAGGAAAGCAGGCCTCAGCAGGTGTGTGCTGCTCCAAGCCAGAACTATGCCACCAGAGAAGGTCTCCTGCAGGGACAAGGAGGCCTCAGCACAGAGACCGAAGGTGTCCTGGGGTGTCCTGGGACCGGGGGAGCCATTGTAAACAGCTGGCCCTCCTCAAGGGATCCCCAGATGAGGCCCCACAGTGACTGTCCCCAGCAAGGCAAACACAAGAGTAGCTCATCAGATTTCAGCTTCAGCAGGGGTGGACGGTTCCATACATGGTGACTTGAGCCTGTTTGTTTTAATGTCACCTTATCTGATGGGGTGCCTCAATTGCTCAGTCAGTAAAGCATGTGACTCTTGATCTCGGGGTTTATAAGTCTGAACCCCACTTTGAGTGTAGCGATTACTTAAAAAATAAAAACTTAAAAAAAATAAGTAAATGTCACCTTATCTGAGAAGCTTTCCCTGACCATCTCCATAAATTGGCACCCAACCCTACCTCCAACCCATCCTCCTAGACTTTAGGAACCCTTCTCAGCCATATTTTCCTTCAGAGCATTCAGCACTCCATGACATATGATTCAGAGCATTCAGCACCCCATGACATACGATCTGAAATAGGATGAGAACAGTTCCTTACACTCAGCAGGTTCTCAACAGAGAATAATGCAAGAGGGGGAAAGAAAGAGGGAGGGAAAGAAAGAGGGAAGAAGTTGTCTTCCCCCCTGGGACAGGCCTAGGCTAGGGGGAGAGGAAATCTGAAGAGTCTGAAGTTGTGATTCTTACTCTTTCATGACTTACAGAGACTGGAAACTTTTCTTTTATCTGAGTGTTCAGTGACGTCATGAGATATGCTCTTGGATTCACCAAGGGCAAGACAAGAAGACCCAGCCTGCAGACAGTGTCTAAATGGACGATGGGAGCTGTTTTCTTTGATCCAATAAAGTCACAAGTCCTCCCTGGGGGACTCTCATGTGCTGACTCCACACACATCCACAAATCCCCTCTCTTGTACACAAATGCAGCGTACCATTCAGCGTTTGCTGCCTTCCTTTCCTCCTTAATCGACCGGGAGACCATTGCTTGTTTGCACATGAACACACATGAACGCACATGAACATCTTCCTCCTTCTTACTTACGGCTGAACATTCCTGTACATACACTATACATACAGTGGGAGTAAGAAAGGGCTCTTATTCAGGATTTTTTTTAAGATTTTATTTATTCATGACAGACATGGAGAGAGAGAGAGAGAGAGGCAGAGACACAGGCAGAGGGAGAAGCAGGCTCCATGCAGGGAGCCCGACGTGGGACTCGATCCCAGGTCTCCAGGATCCCGCCCTGGGCCAAAGGCGGCGCCAAACCTCTGAGCCACCGGGGCTGCCCTATTCAGGATGTTTTAAAGGCTTTGTCCTTTCTGAGAGTACTCCTTTGGCCTTTGGTCGGACTCCTTTTCTGGCCAACAGGAAAACACTATTCCTGTTGGAACAATTTCTACTGGAACTGTGCTGGCCTTTGGTGTGATTCCACCAGGAATCAGGAACAGGCTGTTTCTGTTGAGACGGTGCTGTTTGGAAATTTTTCCTTTTCTTTTCTTTCCTTTTCTTCTCCGCCCCCTTTTTTTTCTCTCTAGAATATTAAAACAAACAAACAAACAAAACAAAAACCCTGCAAGAAATGAGATCCCAGTTATCAAAATGCTTTGAGGGCAACCTCCTCTGGGACCCGTGTATAGAGGCCACTTTTAGGCAATGTCCTTGAGCAATGGAAACCTGAACAAGGCAGAAGGAAGCACAGCAACCACCAAGCTGATGCAAACAGGTTTATTAAGCCACAGGCCCTAACTGACCCATGGGCTACTTACTTACTTTTGGCACAGGTACCAGAGAAGGACAATTCCCAAGCATCCCCATACTCTCTCATTCTGCCCTGTAGCTATAGCCCCTCGCCACCACCACTGCCTCCTG